TAATCACACTAACTTGCCCTGTGTCAAGAGGATGGCTTAACAGTGCTGGTGCTCGGCTGAAGTTGATTTCCTTTCTCACTCTTCGTCGTGGCTGTCTCAGCTCCTCTCCAGACTTCTCAAGGCTCCAGATTTACTGTGGCGCTAATATCCTCCACTGATGTCCTTCCCTCTTACGAAAGTGACAAATGCCCTCATCTCTACTTCCTTACCATCTGGGGAGTGGAGGGAGGACATCTTCTCCAGTTTTAAAGGTAAACTCTCCACTTTCCCTCTAATTTAATCTCCTCCTGAATATCTCTGTGTCTTCTATCATCACTGTTTATTGATCCTTTGCATACTCAGATCAATTTCTTTATTCATATGTCCCCCAAGGTTCTGACTATCCCCTCTTCAAACTCAAACATCCTGATGGAGTAGACTACACATGTCTTTACTTCTTCAATCCTTAATTTCCTTCCCAACTCAATCCGTTAACACCTACTGAAACAGATTTCTTACTTAGATCCCCAATATAGCAAAAATATAATTTTCCAAAGGAAAGATTAGGAAGATATCTCTGTGTTGTTACATCTCACAGATGCCCAGAAAAGAGAATTTAGATTGGTAAAAAGCACTGCAAATATTATAACTACTGTTCTTTCAATAATGTAGTTTATAGCTTATAAGAACAGATATATATATATATTTTCCTATGAGATTCTAAAAAGCTAGTTTTATTTTGGGTAGGAGAAAAATGTGGCTCATAAACATTTTTATTTTTTCTGAATTGGACCTTGTGTGAAGGAAAAAAAAAAAAAAGGTTGTTCATTCCTTCTCCAAGCTCTGTGGAAGCCAGTTCGATTCAAAAGTATTAGTGTTAAGAAAAAGTCCTTTTAGAAAGGCACACATGAATTTAATTTATTGAGATAAGCAATTTTATGTGGAAGTTTAGTTTCTGACCTTTCTCGGTATCACAGAAAATCATGAGGCTTAATTTTGGTGTTTAAATCAGTGTGCTCAGGGGCACAAATGAAAACTGGGTAGGTTGACAAGGCATGTAAACAAAAATGAGGATATTTATCCAGGTAGCCACGATGCTTTTCAGCACCTAGATATCTCAAGGAACCCATTTCCCTCTGGGTGCAAGGAACCCTGAAGCGGTGAACGTCACGGCTTTCTCATGCCAACTGCAAACTCTGTGAAGTTTACTTTCCTGTGACATTTTAGTTTTCTTCAAACATATATTAAAAAACAATATATGTTCATTTCGGAAAATTTGAAACTACTGAAAATCACAAAGAAGAAATTCTAAATTAGTTATTCAGGGAACCATTTTGGTTTATATCTTTCTAGCCTTTTCTCAATAAAGTTTCTACTTAGAAAATAACAGAGGATATACTGAATTGTGGTTTTGTTACTTACTTTACTTCAATATATCTTAATAATGTCCCTATGCTATTAAGAATTCTTTTACATCATCAACATTAATAGATATACAGTGGCCTAGTCTATAGCTATACCGCAATTAATTACATCAATATACCCTGTTTGGAAACAGTGTTTTTTCATTTCTTTAGTTCTTTAATGTTTGGATGAATACCTTACAGACAGACATTGTTGATAGCACTGATCAGGATAAATTCTGAGGATAAATTCTTAGATGTGAGATTGTTAAGCAAGATGTCTTGCACATTTTAGGGGTTTTGACTTGCACCACCTGTCTATACTCCAGAGAGGTTATAATAAGTTAATAATCCCACCAGCAGTATCTGAGAAAGCCAGTTTCCAGAACCTATATCAACACTGGGTATGACATTAAAAACAAAATAAAAATTAACAAAGCAAAACCTGTTTATTGAAATAGTATTATCCTCATTTTACAGATGTGAAACTAAGACTCAATATAGGTAAAATAACTTGGAAATAGGACCTGTACTGTTTTCATTTCATTTCATTTCATTCATTTAATCCAGAGTTCCCTGATTGGGATGTGGGGGACACTGGTGTAATACGACTTAGTGGTCCACTTATTTCTTGGGTCTGAGAGCTAGAATCTTTAGGTTGGGCACATTTAGCCTGGAGCTGACCCCTGTGGGTTTAAAAGCTCCTTTGGTTTACCCCACTGTATAAGCTGCCTAATATTCTACTGTATTCCATGAGATGAAAATGATTGGGAAGTACTAAAAGAAAAAAACAAAAACAAAAAAGGACAGACCTGGGATATAATTTAGTGAGCGAGGCCTTGGGAGCACTTATACTGGATTAGAAGATAGTTAAATAAGCAGCAACAATAAAGTGTGTTACAACCAAGGAAACAGGAAATCCGAGAGCACTGGGAGTGTGAGGGAGTGGTTAGGGTGCACAGAGAAGGTTTCTAGGAAGAAGTGATGTTCAAACTAAGACCTAGTGGATGGGTGAGAGATGGGCAAAAAAAGGTGGAGAAGCGTGTTTCAGGTAGTGAGAGCAGCATGTGAGAAGGCCAAAGGTGAGGAAGCATGGCATGGCCCACTTACTTGGAGTACAGCATGAGGGGGAAGTGAGTCAGAGAGCAGAAAGGTTAGGAAGGCCACAGTGAGACATTTGAGCATTGTCTCTGGGCAAATGCAGAGTCAATGAAGTTAGGGAAAGAAAATGATCAGATCTGTTTTTCAGAAGGACCACTCTGCCTGCCATGATGGTCGACAGATAGACAATCATCCATTCTCCTCAAGGAGAAGTTCACATTAGGCATTTCCAAGGAAAAAGAATCATGAACACATCACCACACAATTTTTATCAAATACTAATTGAAAGAAACAGCATTCACCTAGCTAGTTCTTTAATCTCCCTTCCAGATAGTCCAAAAATATATTGGTGGAGCAAATCAGATCTGCAGAGAGCAGGTGCTCCTCTTTCACTGAGTGGCTCTTTGGTATACCGACATGAGTGTGATCATGGTCTGCATTTTTAGCTCTATTATTTTTGGCTCTACTTTGTCTCTCCCAAGTCGTCTTTTTGTAAAGTGGTGTTTTTGGACAATTTGTCACATTTTACATAGCTTTGCAAGTTAACCAAAGCCTTGTTTGAAATAAGGCAGAGTAAAAGAGTTAAAAAAACAAATGGTAAGTATAAGATTTGGTTAGAATCTTTGTACACAATGGAAATACATCAGTAAAAGAAGTGAAAGATTCTTTTTGAAACCGCAAGTAGGAAGAAGACTAGCAAGAATAATGGTTCTGAGATAAAAAGAAAATATATCGAGTGGGTTATTTTTTTAAAGTTTGATTTAC